ACCACGTCCTCTTCCTCCTCTAAAGGAATTTCTTCCTCGCCCTCGACTGCTACCACACTCATTGTAAGACACTGCTAATGCTTGCTCCTTGTCGGGTTCTTTCTTGAACTTTTGTTCATGGACTAAGAGAGAACTTTGTAGGGCATCTACTGAAAGTTCATCAATATCCTTAGCTTCCTCAATAGAACACACTATATAGTTCCACTTCTCTGTCAATGTCCGCATAATTTTCTCAACAATTTTGACATCATCCATGTCTTCTCCGCAATTCCGCATGTCATTAACAATGACCATCACCCTGCCAAAGTAATCATTGATTAATTCACCTGGTTTCATGGCTAAGACCTCGAACTCCCTTCGAAGTCGGTTGAGCTAAGCACGTTGAACTCGATCATTCCCTTGATATTTCATCTTCATCGAATCCCATAACTGTTTGAATGTCTCCTTCTTTGTTATGGTTTTTAGAATTGATTTGTCCAAAGACTGAAATAAATAATTCTTTGCCTTTAAATCTTTGAGTTTCATCTCTTCAAGACTCTTCTTCTGGGTATCTGTCTGAACAACATCTTTGCTGGGCAGAGTATAGCCTGTCTCCACCACGCTCCAATATTCTCTTGATCGGAGGAGGTTTTCCATGAACATACTCCAGTGGTCAAAATCCCCATCGAATTTCGGAATTGACGGTGTTGAGAAACCACCACTTTTCTCCTCAGATCCCATGCTGTTTTTATGGCTTTCTTGTGTTTCTCTCACAGACACTCATTGGTGTTCTTCAATACTCAATCTCTCAAGCTCTGATACCAGATGTTAACAATTGTAGTATTCTGGCAACTGAGTTGTTTTATTAATAGGAAACATGGCTTATAAATAGCCTTACAAATGAAACTGTAAAAGAAACTGAATGCACTAGAAAGTGCCTAATAAAACGGATAGAAATTGCCTAGAAAATCGAAACAAACAAATCCTATAAACTAGGACAACCTAAACTGAATCCCGTGATCCTCCCACGACCATAACAGTTTGACTTATTCAAATATCATAGCATAAGCTGAATTTACTCTAACATAATTCACTATACTTCTAAAAATTATTACAAGAGATTACAAAAGAGTTACCGATGTAAGAAGGTTTTTAAGTCATTTGAGTTGGTTTCAAACCCAAAGACAACATTTTAATATTTTTCAGCAATTTTCTATTTTATTTCTATTTTGGATCAAAAGTCCATTAAGGTTTATTTATTTATTTATGTTTTATATTAAATGCTCATTAGAGTTTTTTTATGTATTTAAACACTATTGTGAGTGACTTTTAGGATTATCTTTGATTTAATAAAATTCAATAGTTTTCCTATCGGGTGGATTCCAACGTTTATCTAATAGGTTTTGTGTTTGCAATCCTGTGCTTTCATTTTAGGTTTAGCATTTGTTAATCCATAGTGTTTCCGACTGCGTTAGGTGGTACTAGAGCCGGTTTTCTCATGTTTCTTTTCGTATCTTGATCAACCATGAGAGATTAACCGGTGACTAGAGTAGATCATAAGGGAATTACTACGACTTTTATCATGGTTCTGACTGCTTTGGCTGAACAGATGACAAATTTAGCAAATCAGGTGAACAACACCAGCAACAATGGGAATCAATGAAGAGACATGTGAGGAGAATATGTTAGGTTTCTACGGGGTGGAAACAATCATCGTGTTGTTATTATTGAAAATTCAAGTTCTAAGGTAGCTTGATACATCAATGGCTTAAAGGGATCTTTGCAAGTAAAATGAGTTTACAGGTTGTATGGATCGTAGTTGAGGCATCCAATCTAGCTTTGAAGACACAACTAATGGAGAAATCCCCTTGAAATTTATCATGTTTTAGATATTCTCCCGAGAATAATTTTGAATCAGTAGGCGACAGGGAAAAGAGTGCAACAACCAGGGATTCTAACTCTGAGAATAAGGCTACTAGGAACTCTAGCAGTGTGTAGTAGGGTAAAACACCAGTCCAAAGGCTGAATAATCCATATATTAAACCCATCGGAGACACGTGTTATCATTGTAGTGGAAGAGGTCACTAATAAAACGCTTGTCCAACAAGGATAATTGTTGTTGTTGGGAAAAAAAAGGAAGAGGAAGATGAAAGATAAGGACACATAGTTGAGGACGATGAATATGTAAGGGTTAAGTTTGCATGGGAAAAATCTAATAAGAGGGTAAATTTTATGTTACAATTTTTTTTACTAGCATTCAAAGATAAAGGGTATCAAAAGAATTTATTTAAAACACATTGTTCTATCAAGAACAAGGTGTGTAATATGATTGTGAATAGTGGCAGCACAGAGAATCTCATATCACGTAAATTGGTAGATTATTTAAAGCTATCTATAGAACCCCATGAAAATTCGTACACCATCGGTTGGGTAAGCAAAAGCTACCAAGTTCGAGTAACAATAGCCTGTAGAGTTCCTATCTCCACTGGGAAACATTATAGAGAACAAATACTTTGTGATGTTCTGTATATGTATGTTTGTCATATTTTACTTGATAGACCTTGACATTGTGATAATGATGTAAATTATCGAGAACGGGATAACGTGATTATGTTTACACGGGGCATACATAAAATTATTATGGCTCCTGTTTTGCACTTTATAAGAATCCAGGAGGAAATAAGTTTAGTTTCTTGATGATGATTGACGAGGCTGTTAAAGAAACTGAATTTTTCTGGCAATTGGTGAGTAAGTGGCTGATAAGTGTTGTAAAGGAGGAAAAACTAATTGTATAAGAAGTGTTAGGGATCCTAGAGATTTTCAAGGAATTGACTGTAGATGAGCTACCAAATAATTTTCCTCCTATTCGAGATAAATGTCAGAAAGTTAAATCTTTTAATATGAGAGACGATGGGATGAAGTTTCTGCATAAGGAGAGGTTTCCAATTTATACATACAGCAAGTTTGAGCCATACAAGTATGACCCATTCATAGTGACCTGAAAGATCAATGATAATGCTTATGTGGTAGCTCTTCCTTATTTCATGAGTATATTAAATACTTTCAAAGTTGTTGACATTTATGAATATCAAGTGGATAAATCAATTTATCAAAAATAGAACTCGGGGTCGAGTTATTTAGAGGTGGAGGAGATTGATGTATGAAGAATTTTTAAGCCATTCGAGTTTGTTTCAGGCCCAAAAAGCATCATTTTTATATTTTCCACAATTTTCTATTTTATTTCTATTTTAGATTAAAAGTCCATTAGAGTTTCTTTTTCTGTTTTATTTATGTTTTGAATTAAAAGCTCATTAGAGTTTTTTTTCTCTGCATTTAAACACTCTTGTGAGTGACTTTTAGGATTATCTTTGATTTAATAAAATTCAATAGTTTCACTATCTGGTGGATTCCAGCGTTTATTTGACAGGTTTTGCACTTGCAATCATGTATTCTCATTTTAGGTTTAGCAATTGCTAATACATAGTGTTTTCGACTGCGTTAGCTACTAGAAAATAGTATCTCAATTTCTCAAGAACAAACCCCATTTTCTATCTAAGTGTTTAATAATCTCTTCAACTCTCTATGTATGATCACACAAGCCCAAGGTGTTTGAAGTGTTTTTCCAATCCTCTTAGATACCTCTAAAGATTTTCTAAATTCCAAGAACATAATTATATGAATTTTTACCCTTCATTCTCTAAGCTTTCCTTAGGATTGTCACCTTCTTCCTTCCTTTGTCTTTCGAACTATATTCTAGAGATTGTGAATACAAGAATGATAGAAATACATATTTATAATTGTTGAAATTTAACATATCCATAATAAGCTCAAATCTCGGCCCATTAACAAACAAATTCATGAACCAAACGACTAAGTCTGATATTCGTGAACTAGACTCGATGCCCATGGACCCCCTTCCACCCTACGCACGCGCGCCCCCGCCCAAACTCGATCACCACTATGCAATTTCGATGGCTTTTCAACTTTCTAATTTTTAAGAGTCTCAAAATATGATTTTTTTTTTAACACTTTGAGGTTTTAAAACATATCTTTATAGGATATTTGCTTTTATATTTATAAATAAAATAAGAGCACTTTTTTTATAAGAAAAAAAAAAGTAATTGTTGTAATTAGAGGATGTTTTTTCTTTCTCTTTTCATGCATTCTCCCTTTAAAGTTCTTTGAAACTTCATTATTTCTATTTGTTATTTATTTTCTTTTAATTCTTTTCACTTCTCTTTTTTATGAACCAAAAATATTCCATTTGAAGATTGATTTCAATTAGTCTTCACACATTGATTATATAACAACCTTATTTGATATATTATTCTAACTGACTAACTGCAATTAAGTGCGTATACAATTTATCGATTGTAAATTCTAACCACCTTTAGATAAGATGTTTGTTGAGTTCTTTCTTCCTCAAATATCATCTCTCATTCCTTCTCTTTCCTCTCCCTTTATTAAAATTCCTTATATCTCCTAAGTTGAACCAAAAAATTCTACGTCATATTTTAGATTAGAGGAGAATAAAACATGATGGATCGTAGAGTGAAATATAAATTATATTTATTGTTTTTATTTTATTTTTTATAACTCAAATAATTAATTTCATCGCCTCTGCCCCCAAATTAAAATAAAAAGAATAAAATTGAAGGATTGAATGAAATAAGATGAATCCGTTAATTAGAAAATGAAAGAATGAAATCTTAATTATATACTAATTTATTCGATTCCTTTACACAGATATGCTAAATAGTCTAATTGAGCGGGTTTTATTTCATCCAAACCCCCACAAAGAACGCCGTGAGAAAGAAGGGGTTGACTTTGTGTTGTGTAGTCGTAGAATAGAATCAAACTTGAGATCAATTTCCTCACAACATTCAATCAGGTTCGTTTCTGGAAATTACTATTATTCATCTAATTTTGATTTCTGGATTTCCCCCTAAATCGTAGTAATTTTAAGTCTCACAAATATCTGCTAACACTTGTGATTTATAATTTTGTTAAACACAGTTAGAATGAATCTTAATGATCTCAACAAGGTCTGGGAAATTAAATCTCTCAACAGAATTGGACAGGATGAAGCCACCGAGATTCTTCAAAAAGTAGCTAAGCAGGTTCAACCAATCATGCATAAAAGAAAATGGAAAGTTAATCTCCTTTCTGAATTCTGGTACTTCCTTTCACTTCATGCTTTCTTGTTGCATACACACTTGTTTGCCACTTTTATCTTTCTTAAATTTTAGAATACAGTCCTGCCGATCCATCTCTGTTAGGGATGAATATAGGACCTGGTGCAGAAGTTAAGCTCAGATTAACAAGGCCTAACCGCGACTGGGATTTCTTCCCGTATGAACAAGTTCTCGATACCATGTTACACGAGCTTTGTCATAATGAACATGGCCCTCACAATGCTCAGTTTTATGACCTTTTGGATGAAATTAGGAAGGTAATGATCTTTTGCTCTCTGACGCCCGCCTGTGCGGGTATTGATCATAGATGATTGCATACTCCGTTTTGGTCCTATTTGAATGCAGGAATGTGAAGAACTGATGGTCAAAGGGATCAGCGGTACTGGGAGACGTTTGGGTGGGTTCAGCCAGCAACCGCCTTTGTCGTCACTTCGCCAGACTGCATTGGCTGCGGCTGAAAGCCGAACACGCAATGGAGTTTTACTGCCTCCTGGACCTCAGCGTTTAGGCGGTGATAGCAATATTAAGTCTGCCCTGAGTCCAATACAAGCTGCTGCCATGGCTGCTGAAAGGAGATTGCATGATGATATGTGGTGTGGGTCAAAGTCTTCGGAGGGTAGGAGCTCTAGTGGACCTTCTGAGAAATCTATTCAAACTCCAGTTGGGGAAGCAAAATGGCAGTGCAATACATGCACTTTCTTAAACAAGGTACAATTTGTTTTCTGTTTGATTAATACCCAAGATAGATCATTTTATCTGCAGTGACAACTAATTTGATATTCTATCTGATGATTGTATTTCTAATTCAATGTTGACTTGTGCAACAAATCATCTATCATGTTATTTTCATCTCAATCACACCAAATTTACATTCTTTTTTGTGTTTTGATTGGATTTCATATTGTTGTATCTTAGTGACCCCACTTACCTTTTTTATGTTGCATTCAAGTCAAATGTTTGCACTTGTGCATAGTTGTGACTCCCAACTGCGACAGAAGCATTATGATTCTCGGACCACTATTTTCTACATTTTTTGGATAACACATTATACCAAATGGTTTTTTTGGTTTAGTTAATTTGCTGCATTTGGACCTAAACATTGAATATAAGTGAGTGATGTTTATTGCAGCCATTGGTGTTGCAATGTGAAGTCTGTGGAACAAAGAAGCAGAAAGATGTTAGAAAGTTAAAAGTTTGGTGTTGCAAATTTTGTACTCTAGAAAATAGTAATGAGCATGATAGATGCTTAGCTTGTGGAGAATGGAGATATTCACATGGCCCGCCAGTCTCCGTGAGTGGGCCTTATGCTGGCACCTAACTGGAAGCAATACAATCAATCCTCATCCTTATATATAGTACTATTATTAACATGTTTGTAAATCATTTTAGTAAAGAAATACTGTAACATTGTATGTGTTTGAATCCGAGACCTTAGTTAGGTCACTAGACAATATTTTGGGGTTGGTGAAAAAATAGTGGTTAATTGATATATATATATATATATATATATATATATATATATATATATATATATATATATATATATATATATATATATATATATATATATATATATATATATATATATATATATATATATATATATATATATATATATATATATATATATATATTATTAATTTAGATTTCAACCTTATAATATAATGTTTTTTAGGCTTAAGTTCCCTATTTTACCTAATTTATAAAATTGGTCCTTATATTTTAAATTTAAATAGTTTTGTTCATCTTTTATACTTTTGCACATAAAATTAATTATATTTTCATTTTTTAAATGACATGTAAAATATGACAAATATTCGTATATAAATTTATCGTGAAACTTTATACATAAAAATATAAGTTAAAAAATGATTATCTTATCGATTTTTTATAAAAAATGTCTATCCCATTAAAGTCCATCCTGCAAAAATCCACAAAAAAAATAGGATAGGACGAAATGATCATATTTGAGGATGCGGTCTTAATTCCTAGACTTATCTCGCAAATGAGGGCGGGCGAGAAAATTCTGCGGGCATTGGTGCTTTTAAGCCTAAAATTACAAAAATTTATTTAAATATTTGTGTTTGCTAAACCCCACGTAGAAAAAGAGGCAGGGTGGGGCATACATAAATACATAGTTCGTCCTGCACTAAAATACAGAAAAAAGATGCATGTTCGACGGAATAGACTCTTTTTTGCCACCCCTTTATATATATATATATATATATATATATATATATATATATATATATATATATATATATATATATATATATATATATATATATATATATATATATATATATATATATATATATATATATATATATATATATATATATATATATATATATATATAACATCCCTATCATCAATCTTAAAAATAAAGCATTTTAAAAAAATAATTTTAAACTAATACATGAGTCCATATATTATTATTTCCGTCTACAAATAAGTGTCATCTTTACTATTTTTATTTGTCTCGAACTATTTGATTATTTAAAATATCAACGTGGTATTTATTATTTTTTTACATTAATATACTCTTATTTATTATGTTTTAAATCATATATTATTTTATTATCTATTATTAATAAGATTATTTTATTAAATGACACTTGTTTTATTATTAAAATCAATACAATTAATGGTTATTTTGATAAAAAAATATTAAGAGGACGAGGGTGGTCATTTCGTAAGGTGCCCCCGTCGCCGAAAGTTCCTACAGCGGTGATTTAGTTCGGGTAGAGCAAGTTGAAGTTACGGAGCTTAGTGATTCGCAAGATAGAAAGAGTCAAACTGAGACGAATGAACTGAACGAGGTAACCTTAGGTGCATCCTCAGATGATCGAATTGACAACAGTCAAGAGAAGAAGAAGCTATGGGTGGATGTTGTCAATGAATATCACAACCTTTCTAAGGGTTTAACTATGGAATTTGTGGCACCGAAAGGTGATTGATGGAGAACTATAGATCTAGATTGAAGCGACACACATTTAATCTAAGGTCAAGTTCTGGGAATCGACTCTCATCATGTATGTTACGGGAGATGATTTATGATGAAGAACTGGAATTTGTGCAGCTGTCGGATATGTTGTACAATGATGAAGGGTATTTCATTCCTTCCTTAATAAGGACTCTGTGCTGATGAAGGGATCTTATATCATCTGTAACAGGCATATGTTGCTCCGAGAGTGGAAGCCTGACTTCAGTATGAAGCGTGATATGCTTAGACTGATTCCTCTCCGGGTGAAGCTTCTCCAATTGCCTCTGCATTTGTGAGGAATTAGAAGTTTGAGCAAGATTAGTAGTAGAAGAGATAAGGGTAAAGGTGTGGTCAATGAAGGTACTTCAATCCAATGTCAAAATGGTTTTGGACTACTAGGAATTTTGAATGATCCCAGAGTATGTCAAAACAGGGCTCCACGATTGTGTCATGGAATGTGAGGGGGCTCAATAAAATGGTTAAGACCAAAGAGGTTAGCTCCCGCCTTCTTAGTCTTGATAGAAACTAGGGTGAAAAATAATAAAGCTGATAGAAACTTGGATGAAAAAGGATAGAGCTGAAAAAATTAGAGGTAAGCTTCATCTTAAGGGGATGTACATGGACAACTATCATAATCATGACAATAGTAGATTGTGGATTTGGTGGAATAATAAGAAAGTGGATGTTAAATAGGTCTCTAGTACTGTGAAGTTCATCCACTATGGCATCTATGATTGGGTGACAATTTTCTCTTCTGGTTCACTGTTGTCTATGGTCTTAACCAATTGGAGCAGAGGAGAAGATTATGGAAGGAGTTAGACCAAATTCATCTTTCCCAACAGGGTCCTTGGTTCTTGATTGGAGATTTCAACAACGTCTTGAAATCTATGGATAGAATGGGTGGAATCTGGCGCAGGAAAATGAATGTAAAGACCTCATCTCTATGATGAATATAACAAATTTGAGTGAGATAAATGGTTCTGGTGACTACTTTACCTGGTCTAACAAGCATAATGAGAATGTCATATACACTAGGACTGACCATGTCCTAGCCAATATGGAGTGGTATAAAAAATATATCAATATTACCCTTAACATCTTGGCCCCTAGTGTATCTGATCATGCCTTGTTGCTGTTAAAAAACCCTGAGTTTGTTAGTCAAAAGAGGTAGTATCACTTTAAGTTTATGAATAATGTGACTAATATAACAAATTTTCATGAGGAGATAACTAAGAGCTGGATGGTTCCTATTCATGGCAGCCCTATGTATGTTTTATGGAGGAAGCTGTTTAGAGCCCAGACTATTGTCAGACAGCTTAGAAAACCTCTATTAGATGCCCCTTACTCTTTAAAGAAAGTTAGATTGCTTATGTTAGACACTCAAGAGCTGCTTATGAATGATAGGGAGAATCCAGAGTTAATCTACAAGGTCAAAGACTGTACTGCAGAGGTTTTTAAAGGAGTGAAATTGATGAACAAAATCTCAGACAAAATCCAAGATTTAGTGGCTTAGATTGGCAGATGGAAACAATAGATATTTTCATGCTCAAGTTAAGGCAAAACAGGGTCAAAATGAGACGACTTCTATATGTAAAGAGGATGGCACCATTCTTTCCAATCAAGAGGATATGGATAAGGAAATCTTAGATTTCTATGGTAACCTAATGGGCAAAGCTAATGTGGACCTTGTTGGGATTGAAGTTGTTGCTATGAGCAAGGGATTTGAACTATCTAATGACCGAAGAAGAATGCTTGAGTTACCTGTTACAAAAACTAAAATTATTCAAGCCCTTAAGGATATTGGTGACCTTAAGCACCTGGTGTGGATAGTTTGGGTTAAAAGTTTTACAAGGCTTCTTGGAATATCATTAAGCATGATGTCAATGCAGCTGTCATGGAGTTCTTCAATCATAATAAAATGTATCCTGCCATCAACTCCACCTTGGTGTCCCTTATCCCTAAAAGGTAATACAGGTAAAACAATCAAAGACTTTAGGCCCACCTCTTATTGTACCAAAATATATAAGATAATTTGTAAGACTCTGACTCGGAGGATGAGCAAGGTTATGACCAACATTATTAATCAAAGCCAGAATGCTTTTGTCCCTGGGCAGAGAATCCATGACCATATCCTTCTGTCCTACGAGTTAACTTGTGACTATAGTAGAAAGGGTGGATCTCTTAGGTGTATGCTCCAATTAGATATTCAGAAGGATGGGATACAATTGATTGGTTTGCTTTGGAGAGTATTCTAAAGGAGCTTGGCTTTCCTACCAAATTTGTTAATTCGGTTATGGTGGTTGTTTCTACAATATCTTATATATTCAACATTGGTGGTATGCACACTAAAATCATGGAAGCTAAAAGGGGCCTTAGGCAAGGTGACCCTATTTCACTTTTGCTCTTTGTCATTGTGATGGAGTACCTTCATAGAAGTCTGTTAACTTAGAGTACAAAGGCACCGAAAACTGTTGTTTTATTGATTGATGCGTTAACATAACAAGAATTACAAACTGCTTAATAAAGTTGTAAGCCACTAACAATATATTCATAAAATTCAGCACCCACTACTCACTCAATCAAATATCCCTAAAGACTAGGACAAACTCAAAACAAATCAGTTACCAACATAAATAATATAATAAATTAATTTTTCTAATATTCTCCCTTAAACTGAAAGTTTTCAAACATTCAGTTTATCACACACGCCCAACAATGCTCTGAGCTTCTGAAATGCAGCCAGCTTCAATGGCTTGGTCATTATATCAGCAATTTGGTCTTCACTTCTGCAGTAATGAAGTTCAATCACTCCATCTTTTGTGAGATTCCGGATAAAATGAAATTTCACGTCTATGTGTTTGCTTCTTCCATGTAAAACAGGATTATTGGACAGTTTGATAGCTGAATTGTTGTCGAAATAAATTGCAGTAGCATTAACTTCCCTTTCCTGCACAAAATTCAGCCCTTCAAGAATCCTCCTAAGCCAAATTGCTTGACAAACACATGCTGTTGCAGCAACATATTCTGCTTCGGTAGTTGATAGGGTGACTATCTCTTGTTTCTTTGATGACCATGAAATGGCTCCAGAACCCAGCATAAAGACATAGTCGGAAGTACTCTTTCTATCATCAATATCTCCAGCATAATCACCATCTGTATAGTCAATCCGATCTGAATTTTCTCCCTTCTTGTAGAAAATTCCAAAACTAGTAGTACCTCGCAAGTACCTGAGAATTCTCTTTGCAGCCAAGAGATGACTCTCCTTAGGATTTTCCATATATCTGCTGATCAAACTTACAGCATGCATGATATCAGGCCTCGTTCCTGTTAAA